TTTTGTATCCTTTAACAAATCTCTCCCTATTCCTCCCTTTCCCCCTATCCTTCCCAGCCAATAATATCTTCTGTTCTACTCTCTACTTCTGAGATCAACTTTTTTTAGCTTTCACATATAACTGAGAACATGCAGCATTTAACTTTCTGTTCCTGGCTTATTTCACTTAACATTATGTCTTCCAGTTCCAACCAAATAGAATGATAGGATTTTCTTCTTTTTTATGGATGAACAGTATTCCATTGTGTATATATACCATATATACATTTTATCTATTTATCTGTTGTTGGACACCTAGATTGATTCCATATCTTGGCTATTGTGAATCGTGCTGCAATAAACATGGGCATGTAGATGTCCCTTTGATACACTGATTTCCTTTCCTTTGGATAAATGCCCAGGAGTGAGATTGCTAAATCACGTGGTAGTTCTATTTGTAGTTTTTTGAAAAACCTCAATACTGTTCTCCACAGTGGCTCTACTAGTGTAAATTCCCACCAATAGTGTTTAAAAGTTCCCCTTTCTCTGTATCCTCACCAGCTTTGTTTTTTTTTGACTTTTTGATAATAGCCATCCTAACTTGGGTGAGATGATACCTCATTATGGTTTTGATTTGCATTTCTCTGATGATTAGTGATGTTGAACATTTTTTCATATATTTGTTGGCCATTTGTATGTCTTCTTTTGAGAAATGTTTGTTCGTATCATTGCCCCATTTTTTAATTGGATTGTTTGTGTTTTTGCTGTTGAGATGGTTCAGTTCCTTGTATATTCTGGATATTAATCCTCTGTCAGATGAATAGTTTGCAAATATTTTCTCCCATTCTGTAGGTGTCTTTCACTCTGTTGATTGTTTCCTTTGCTGTGCAGAAGCTTTGTAGTGTAACATAATCTCATTTGTTTATTTTTGCTTTTGTTGCCTGTGCTTTTGAGGTCTTATTTATAAAATCTTTTCCCAGACCAATGTCCTGAAGCATTTCCCCTATGTTTTCTTCTAGTAGCTTTATAGTCTCAGGTCTTACATTTAGGTTTTTGACCATTTTGAATTGATTTTTGTATAGGGTGAGAGGTGGGGCTCTAGTTCATTCCATTATATATGGATATCCAGTTTTCCCAGGACCATTTATTAAAGAGACTGTCCTTTCCCCAATGAGTATTCTTGGTACCTTTGTCAGAAATAGATGGCTGTATATACATGGATCAATTCCTGGGTTCTCTATTCTGTTCCATTAGTCTATGGGTCTATTTTTATGTCAGTATCATGCTGTTTTGGTCACTACAGCCTGGTAATATATTTTGAAGTCTGATAGTGTGATACCTTCAGCTTTGCTCTTTTTGCTCAGGATTGCTTTGGCTATTCAGCATCTTTTGTGGTTCCATACAAATTTTAAGATTTTTTTTTCTAGTTCTGTGAAGAATGTCATTGGTATTCTGATAAGGATTGCACTGAATCTGTAGGCTGCTTTGGGCATTATGGTCATTTTAACAATATTAATTCTTCTGATCCATGAGCATGGGATGTCTTTCCATTTATTTGTATTCTCTTCAATTTCTTTCATCAGTGTTTTGTTGTTTTACTTGCAGAGGTCTTTCACCTCTTTAGTTAAAATTATTCCTAGGTATTTTATTATTTCTTTGTAGCTACCGTAAATGGGATTGATTGCCTTTCTGATTTCTTTTTCAGCTAGTTCGTTTGTATATAGTAATGTTACTGATTTTGTATCCTGCAACTTTACTGAATTTATTAGTCTCAAGAGTTTTTTGATAAGTCTTTAGGGTTTTCTACATATAAGATCATATTGTCTGCAAATAGGGACAATTTGCCTTCCTCCTTTTCAATTTGGATGCCTTTTATTTCTTTCTCTCATTGTATTTTTCAACTCTAGAAATTCATTGTTTTTTAAATCTGATATTTTACTTTTTATAGTTTCCTATTCTACACATATAGTTCAATCTTGTCCTTCTTTCCTTTCTTCCTTCCATCCTTCCTTCCAGACAGGGTCTCACTCTGTTGCCCAGGCTGGAGTGCAGTGGCATGACTTGTCTTTTATTTCCTTAAATACAGTATATACAATTGCTTTATACAATATGTCTGGTAATTCCAATTTCATAAATCTTTGTGGGTCCTCCTCTGTTGTTTTTTGTTTTCCATGGTTCTCACTAATGGAAGCTTGTTTCTTTGTGTGTTTAGTTATTTTTTACTGTAAACTGCTTGTTTCCTTGTAAAGTTATTTGTGAAGAATTCATATGTCTTCCTCTAGAGAGAATTTGTATTTGTTTCTGCCAGGTGCTTGGCGGCACTGCCAGTCTGGAATATCTTAAACTAAACTCATGGCTTGAGGTTCTTTAGATCACATGAGTGAAGAGAACTCTGGCAACACATATCAACAGTTTTTTTTTTTTTAATTAATTTTTTGCCCTGATCTATTCAAAACTATGGTAACCCTTCCTACAGTCCTGGCTTGGGGGTGCAGATTTAGTTCTAGTTTATCCTGATGCTGAGTCCTTTGGGGTTCCAGATTAATGTGGAAAGGATCAAAAGATGGAAAACATGGAAGAGAAGTTAACAGACTTGAAGGCTAGAAGGAAAAGGTCTAAAATGTAATCAGTTTCAGAAGAAGAATAGAGAGAGTGGGGCAGAGGCAATATTTAAGGAGATAAATGGCTGGAAATTTTCCAGAACATATGAATTCTTATGCTCAAGAAGCTAAATAAATACCAATCAAGATAAATAAAAAGAATGCCTTACATTTGTATACTTATTTATACTTTAAAGAACCCTTTTTTTTTACTCTTCATAAAACCATAGGAAATGTGTGTGTCTACATTTTTCATAAAGGAAAATAGGAATTCAGAAAGCTAAAAAGATTATGTAAGGTTATGTAATACTAAGCAGCAGAGGCAGAATTCAAATCCAGTTCTGATCCAAGTTCAGGTCCTTTCCTATACACCAGAAATAGAATACAACACAACCAGAGAAAGACTCAGTAAGGGGAGATCTGAACTTTTCTGAGGAATTGCCCCCTAAAAGTAGAATCCTTACTTTGGAAGCCTCTCTGTGGATACAGGAAGAAACCTTTCTCATATATCTGTGCTTTCTTCTGAAGACATTGGATTGGACAAGCCTCTGTAGCAAGAAGCAGGAAAATTCTAGCTTGTACCTTAGATTGCGAGTTAAATCAAATGAGGCCAAGCTAATTCACTGTGCTAAAGACCAGGTTGACTCAAATGGTTCATGGAACCGGCTTGGTACTAAACAGAAAGGTACACAATAGCCTACTCTGCACCACCCAACTGTCAGGACAGCAGGGCAGGAGTGTCCTCCTCATGCTCCTCCTTATACCGCTGAAGACAGATTAAATACTGTAGTTAACATGTCCTAGATAACACGTCTTTTGTTCATCAATGTGATTCAACTTGGTAATTACTATATCTCTTCTGTTCTGGTGGCATTTTACTTGCTTATGGCTTACATTCGATTTGTTTTTTGCCCAGAGCACTAAATTAAGAATTTTTAAGTGTGAAGCTTGTGGCTTTTTAGCACAATCAAGCTCCATTCCCAAGATGTTAACATGTGGCTGACATCTCTCTACTAGCCTGGTAGAAAGAGCAGACTATTCTTCCCTTGTAGCTGCCTCCATGACGTATAAAAGCTGGGAGTTACAATGCCTGAACTCATAGTATGAGGCACCAGAGCCAAAAAACCAGATTCCAATAAAAGGGGCCAGATGCCAAGCTATTCAGTGGGAAAGCCAAACAGCCCCTGGTTTGATGTCTTGTATGTAGGTATGGCCATCACCATCAGAAGCAGCTGTGGACAAGGCCTGAGGCAAGAGACGAAAGAAAGGAGACGCAATTCTCATCTTTCATGATGTCTCTCTGGTACAGGTCAGGGGATACGGGTGCACAAAGATGAATAACAACAGAAAGGAGCCACAGTAGGTAGTAAGCTGGTTTGGAAGCCGCTACTGAGTACCAACCATGTGAGTGGTCCTGCACAGGGATCAAACTCTCATAGTAGATAGAGCTCCAACCCAAGGCTTGCTGGTCAAATAGGGAAGTGCAGAACCATCCTCCCATCATCCACCCATCCATCCATGAGCACCTAACAAACATATGCCAGAACTATCTAGGCACTAGAGAGACCACGAAGGCCAGAATAGGGCAGAATCCTGGAAGGATTAGATACTTCGTACTTGACAGTCCCCTACGAATTAATAATTTTGATTAAATCCTTACAACCCTGTGAAGTATGTATATTGTCTTCATCTTACAGATAAAACTGAGGCTCAGAATGGCTAAGTATCTTGTCCCAAATCACAAAGAGAATAAATGGCAATCTGGGATTTCAACCAAGCTTTGCCTGGCTTTGAGTCTATGCCCTTAATCAATTAATAATTATTATACAGTTAGTTACCGTCTAGTGAGATACTTGGTAACAAGAGGTAGAAAACTCAAAGGACGCATAGAAGAGACAACTTTGTGTGGGGAGGAAGTGGTCTTTGAGATGTCCAAGTGGTCTAGTAAGGAAAGGGACACAGACAACAAGCACATGCAAAGGTAGGGGGAAGGAGGGTTCACCTGTGGTTGGAGTGAGTGGCGTTGAAGCTGGAGAGGAAGGCAGGGACTGACATGGAAGACTGTGCATGCCACATGGCAGAGCATCTTTGAGAGGCCACTGCCTCCTGCTGTGACTCAACTGTCCTCCACCCTGTAGGAGAAGCCTTTCCAGGGGCCTCCTTGTCCCTCAAACACCTGGCAGTGGCTGCCTTCTATAATGAGCTGCCTGAGCCAGCCAAATCTAAGGCCTTACGTTTGCACTCACTATCCCATCCTCTCCAGGCCTCTGCAGACTGTAATATGCACAAAGATTCTGTAGACAGAGGCCCCAGGGACTCTCCCAAAGACCACAGGGCTGATGACAGTGGACCCTTCAGAGTGAGACCCCAGCTTTCTCAGACCTCTCTACCAGAGCCAAGGCACCTTCTCATGCTACTCACAGTTTAGAGTCCAGATTCAGGAGGAAGCCCAACCGATCATACTCTGAAAAAGAAAAGCAGAAAATGTCACAGAAGTCAAGCCACTGCTGACACTAGCAGATTGCATCCCCAGACCTAGACCACAGACACAGACAGCCCTCAGAAAAGAATGTGATTCAACTGCTTCACAGAATAGAAATACACAAATACACAAAGCATACAATGCTAGTGGAATACCTGTTTTGTGAAGGACCAGGTTCAACACCAGGTATTTCCCAGGCATTCTAGGCTAATCAGTCCAATGTTATGTAGCGGCCTTCCTGCATAGATATGGTACTTAAAACTGAAATTCGTAAACCATGAAACTGGACCCTGCAGAAGTAAGAGAGTCAGAAGCACTCTCTGCTTCCTCTAAGCTCTAAGAACGATATTTGCTGAATCAGCCATGTTAACTATGGGGTGAAGATGTGGCAGACAAGGGGTCCTCAAGTCCACAGCAACAATTCTCTTCATGGTAATCATGAACAATCAACAGATTGGATTATATAGAGAATAGGAAGTTTAAAATAAAATTTAAAAACTGGTAAGATGTTTGCAACAAATGATTAGGCAATACTACTTTAAGTTCTTTATATGTCACCTCATTCCAAAATGAGGTTGATGCAGTCCTACAAAATTGTATGGAGTATAAGATTTCAAAAAGGGAGGAATCTGGGGCCCAAAGGGGAAATAAGCATAGGAAAAAAAACAAAATGCAGCTGGGGTAAGAGGAACACCAACCATGAACATTCTAAGGCCCCGTGTGTTTCCTGGAGGAGGATTACAGAGCTGTCCCCAGGATTTGTCTATCCATAGCAAAAACTAAGTGCAAAGCACTGATTTCACGGTTCACAGTATCTACAAAATAAACAGGAGAATCACAGCTATTCTTGGTACTAAGACTTGAAGGAATCTTGTGTCCTCAAAAATATTTGCATAAGGAAAATGACAGGAAATGTCAAGGAACTGTTTCTTATAGCTGTGCTCAATATGGCAAAGTGAGTGTGTGTGTGTGTGTGTGTGTGTGTGTGTGTGTGTGTCTATGCCAAAATAATGTGGCCTACGAATGCAGTTCTCAGCTGGCCTGGCTCAATCTGAGGGCAAAACAGCGTACAAGGCCAAAACACTGGATGGAAGGGCCAGGCAGCAAGGCTTTCGAGGAACTCAGCCTTTAATAAGCCATCAATGGCCAAGAGAGGTGAAGTTGCACAGGCTGACAAGTACCTCACAGGACTCACTCTGAAAGGCCAATTCAGGCCAGACTCATGGCTTTCAAAATCTGCTGAGCTGCGCTGAGAGAATAAATCCTCTTCTTAAAATTGAAGATACCAACTAGGACACATAACTGAACGTAAGGCTTACCTCCCAAGAGAATACCCTTGGGCAAGTGAAAGGCTTTCCTCAGAATAATTCTGGTTTTGCTTTCAGACAAAGGGATAAGAGACCTTCTTTGATGTATCAAGAACTTTAAAAATTCAGTAAGAAAAACAAAATGGCTTACACTTAAAATAAATCTAAAAATATTATTTTCAAAAAGAGTTCATTTCAGAGTTTAATACTCTGTCAACAATCGTATTTTGTCATTCCATGAAAAGGAAACCTCATCAACTTGCCAAATACCTGTCACTTTTTCCCTGTGTGATGACAACCGTGGGGCAACTCTCATGCTACTGCTCCTCGCACCTGAGCTGAGATTCCTTTAGACAGTGAATCCACACTTTGTGGGATTCTTTCAGAGAGGCCAGAGAATGTTTTTACCCTTGTTGCAAACTCAAATGTCAGGGGCCAAACAAGAACATAACCCAAATGAGGGAAGTGGGAGGATACAATGTCCTTTTGCAGTAGCTCACATCACTTATTTTAGTTGTATTAAAAAATAAATCCTGGCCAGGTGTGGTGGCTCACACCTATAATCCCAGCACTCTGGAAGGCCAAGGTAGGAGGATCACTTGAGGCCAGGAATTTAGGACCAACCTCAGCAACATAGCAAGACCCTGTTTCTACAAAAAATAAAATTAGTGTGGTGGCATGCACCTGTAGTCTCAGCTACTTGGGAGGCTGAAGTAGGAGGATTGCTAAAGCCCAGGAGTTGGTGGTTATAGTGAGCTATGATTATGCTACTGCATTCCAGCCTGAGCAACAGAGCAAGAGCCTGTCTCTCTTAAAAAAAAAAAAAAAAAAGCCACAAATCTTGTTAAAATGTCTTTTTTTCAATTCATTGTCCCCCCCTCATATTTTCTGTATAATAAAAATAATTGGGCCAGGCGCGGTGGTTCACGCCTGTAATCCTAGCTCTCTGGGAGGCCGAGGCAGGCAGATTGTTTGAGCTCAGGAGTTCGAAACCAGCCTGAGCAAGAGCGAGACCCTGTCTCTACTAAAAATAGAAAGAAATTAATCGGACAACTAAAAATATATAGAAAAAATTAGCCAGGCATGGTGGCGCATGCCTGTAGTCCCAGCTACTCAGGAGGCTGAGGCAGGAGGATTGCTTGAGCCCAGGAGTTTGAGGTTGCTATGAGCTAGGATGACGTCATGGCACTCTAGCCCAGGCAACACAGTGAGACCCTGTCTCAAAAAAAAAAAAAAAAAAAAATTGTATGTATGGTTTATTTTCCAATGACATCTTATATTTTGTTTTATATACACAAATTGCACATTAAGCATATAAAAACACTTTTCATTTCTAAAGAAATTTTGTCCCTTCCGTGACTCTCTTGGCCTGTTGTTTTCTCTCTTTTAGTAAGAGACATGAGTACCAGAAATAGTTCACTTTATTCTTTATTTTATTTTATTTTTAGAGACAGAGTCTCCCTCTGTTGCCCAGGCTAGAGCATGATCATAGCTCACTGCAACTTCGAATTCCTGGGCTTAACTGATTCTCCTACCTCAGCCTCCTAAATAGCTGTGCTTATGGGTGCACACCACTGCACCAGCTAATTTTTCTTATTTTTTGCAGAGATGGGGTGTTGTTATGTTTCTCAGGCTAGTCTTGAACTCCTGGCCTCAAGTGATCCTCCCACCTTAGACTCCCAAAGTGCTGGGATTATAGGCATGAGCCACCACCCCCAGCCTTTATTCTTTAACTTAGGAAAAGGTAACTGTGTGAGCCCACTGATGACAAATGGCAACAGGCGCTTGGCTCGTTGGAGCCCAGAGGGGACAGAGTCCACCTACAGGGCGCATGCCAGCCAAGGTGCAGCATCTACAGCTCTAGCTCACTGTGCCAGGCAGCAGTGCAGGCCTGTGTCAGCAGATCTTCTGATTTTTTTTTCAAGCCAGGAATCTGGATTATTTTAGGTGAAATTTCTCAGTTTCTAAATATCGGCAGTGGATTCAAGAAAAATCTAAAAATTATGTGAATCATCCAAAATATGCCTATGGGCAGGATGCAGCCTGCAGGCTAAACGCTTGTAAACTGTCCTAGACTGACAGCTCATGAGGGCCGTGGCTGCACACAGCAGATACTCAGTGAATATTTGTTGACTGTTACTATCAGCATTATTTGGTCATAACAGTCATAAATTCAAATCAAATTAGTATAACAGGATGCTAAAAAGAAAGTTTCAGCTAAGCCTCTAAGGTGATACATTTCAGACACCAAAGTTAGGTGCTAGACTAAGATGCAGACTTTCAAAGGAAATATCTGAAAACTTGTCACATAATTCTAACGGTCCTCTAAAGTAACCAGTTGTTAGAGATGATGGGAGAAAGAATATAAAAAATTCCTTTGGGGAAAGCTGTGTTATGAACCCCGCCTCCCTTAAAGGGCAGGATGAGTACTTGTCTCTCACCCAGCCTGGGGAACACAGTGGGCTCCCACCCGAGTCTTAAGGACACGAGGTGGGCTGGCTGGCTGCAGGAGACAGCAGCCCAGGGACCGGCCTGCACTCCAGAATCTGCGGTGGGAGAGGGTGCGTGAGGGAGCTGGTGTGGTTGTTTTAGGTCCTTTCTGCAGGGCTGATGGGCCCTGAGCCAACAACAGAAGCAGGGGCAGCCGCCGGGATTCCCAGGAGCTGCAGAAGGAGTAAGTGGCAAGGCTGAGGTGGGGGCATTACCTACATCAGGGGAACTGCAGAGGAGGGGTCCCCCAAAACCCACAAGAGCACCCCCAGAATCAGCTTGAAACACTTGCCAGGTCCAGAGGGTGCAAACACTAGCCTAGGTGTTTTCTGCTCACATTCTCTTTCTCCACAGCAGGCGCGGAAGGTCAGAAGCAGCCGCCAGCGACTGGGGAGGAGGAGGAGGAGGGGAAGGATGAAGGAGGCCTGCCCTTCCCTGATCAGGCACCTGCTGGTCCACAGCCCTGATGCAGGGAGGAGAAGTCACTGCAGCTTTGTATGAACTGAAAGCTGTGACTGCTACATAAGGCAGGACACTCTAAGTTTTGGAATTGGCGACTCAGTGTGACCATGGGATTTTTATTATCTCAGAGGTATTAAAAACATGAAAACATTTTAAGGGAACAGTGGGAGATAAAATAAAGGTGTCTATGATTATCCCTCAATGTTAGTACAACATACTGGTTGCACTAACTTAGGCAACTAGGGCAATTTAATGGTTCATATAACCAAACTGCGGGAAGGGCCAGAGTGTGGAGGGCTTCAGGGATGACCAAAAATGACTGGCATGTCATTGGACATCCCTCGTTGGCTTTACTCTCCCCTGAGCTTTCTTCACAAGGGAGGCAGCATGGCCGCTGGCAACTTCTGGGCACATGCCTTCAGCTTTGCCACTAAAAAGGGACTGCGATCTGCCTCTCTGCTCCTGATGGCAAAACTCCTGGGGAAGGGCTAGGGTTGGCGGAGCTTGCATCTAATCACAGGGATCGAGGAGATGGGGCTTGTGAAAATGACGAGTCCCTCGTGACACACATTTACCAGAAGGAGGAATGCGCTGCCCTGAACAAACAAAGGCCCCTTGAGAACAGTAGGAGTAACCTTTGGAAAATTTAGAGCTAAATCTCCCAGATATAACCAGTTAAAAGAGGCCATGGACCTTATTTCTCTCATCCTTATTCCTCTGTGG